TTTTTTTTTTTTTTTTTTTTTTTTTTGACACAAAGCTTCTATCTATTTGTGAGGAGCATCACGTGCTTGGAAAAGAGTCAATACCTGCAGGAAGTTCCCGATTGTGAAAATGTGTGCACGGGGCCGAAATGAGGAGTCCGATCTGCAATGAGCTCTCCAATGATGGCTGCACCCGCCTGCAGCAAAGCCCAGATCAGATGCATCAGCGGAACAGGATTAGAAACTATGTTACCAGAGTAGCTCAGGACTACTTGCCTGGCCGGCGGCTGCGTCAAAAAAGAATAAAAAAAATAAAAATCTAATTTTGTTTTTTGTTTCTAATTTGGCGAAGAATTCGAATGTGAACCTGAGGTAGTCGTTCGGCACCACTACAAATGTAAGGATTCTTTTTTTTTTTTTTTTTTTTTTTTTTAATGAAAGGATTCTTACAAAATCATCGTTTCACCACACCCTAATGAAGAAAAAAACGAACTCGAGTCCAGAATGTTTCCACATTTTTGGCTTTTAGGGTCCGCCCCTGAAAAATGAGGACGCCCCAGGCAAAACGACAGAAATCTCTAGGGAGGCCCCGAAGGTGACTTGAAATGTGAGGGTGGGACCCTACGGATTGCCCAAGAGGCCGAGGTCCTGACACCGGGCTCCTCACCTGAGATGTAAGGGCGGGTAAGTGTAGGGTCTTCCTTTCTTTTTTTCTTTTTTTCTTTTTTTCTTTTTTTCTTTTTTTGAGAATAGCCCCCGTGCAAGCCCTCTATCCCGGCAGTGGTAAGAGAACCGTCAGAATTGGGGGCCCCTCACAATGTAAGGATTCATAACTGGTGTGGAACGAGGCCCTGAGGCAGCCCGTTTCCCGGTTATATGATATCTGCTTTGTTCGGGGGGGGGGGGGGGGGGGGGGGGAAGGGAGGGAAAATAAAAAATAAAACAAATTGGTGTTTTTTTTTCTTTTCTTTTGCAGGGACCTTCCCTGAGCCGGGCTGCCCGGTCAATCAAAGTGGACAAGTGCAGAGACAGTCGTGAATAACAGGACGACTCTGCCAAATCAGGGAGTGAAGCCCGTGACTGACCGAGATACAATCGAAAAAAGACCACGGACTACCAACCATAGGCCAACACTTCGACTAGCCTCACCAGATTGCCATAGCCAGCAGGTAATACAGACAGACGGGAGAGAGAGAGAGAGAGAGAGAGAGAGAGAGAGAGAGAGNGAGAGAGAGAGAGAGAGAGAGAGAGAGAGAGAGAGAGAGAGAGAGAGAGAGGTGGGGAGGTGAAAGAGAGAACATGAAGGAATTGATACGCAAGAAAGATAGTAGGTAGAAGACAACAGGACTCACATCATCCTGAATGCGACCAGATAGCGAAGGATTAATTTAGAAACAACACGATGTACCATTCTATCTACAGTCCACCTTGAAGTCCGTAAAACTATGTCTAAGACATTGGGCGGCAGCACGAACCGACTAGCTTCTGCCATGTGCTCCTCCCTCCATCATCAGGGGTCTTCATGCCGCGTCGTTATGTCGTAAATACGACCAAGAACAGTCATGAATCGAAGCGGCAGTCAGGGCACCAAAAACACCCTCGCCAACTTTCGGACAGAAAGCCCAACCGGCCTAGCTCAGTTGGTACACCCATGAACTCTTGAAACAGAGACCCCAAGTCCGTGCCCAGGTGTCATCAGGTGAACTATGAATGACCTGGGGCCAGTCAGCTCAATGAAGATATCATCCAGTGGCTGTGGCATTCAGGAGGTTGTGGGTTTGAGCCCCATGAACGCCTGCGGCAGACTTAGTCCCAACCGACTGTGATAGTCCGATTGATACCCCCCCATGAACGCCTGCGGCACACTTAGTGCCAACCGACTGTGATAATCCGCTTGATGCCCCTGATCGGTATTAGTAGGGTCTATGAACAACACGGGTGTGAGTGTGAGTGTCAGCGTGAGTGGGTTGTGTGGGTTGTGTGGGAGAGTGTTGGCCATAGCCACAGCTGCCACTCGACGGGGGGTGGGGGAAGTAGATGGGCGGTGCAGCTACTGGCATTATGCTTGGTCTTTTCGTTAGCCGCCTCCCCCGATCGGTGGCCCCACCCTAGCCCCCGACCACCACCTTTTAGGGCGGGGCCCAACATGCATCCCCTCAATTGTGAGAGGTACCTATGCCTTGCAGGGGTCCCTTGGCTTAGGAGTAGTAATAGGTAGATAGTCACTGTGAAGGTAGCAAAAAAAAAAATTAGCAAAAGAAAAAGTAGCGGGTGAAGGCAAGCAGACAGAGCTGAGATGAAGTCCCCTCAGAAAGAACCCCGTCCAGAAAACAGAGGAGATGCTGTGTGCCTTTGATCGGTTGGCCCTAAGCTCGAGAGACCAGTTACGGGGAAACAGAAAACAGCAGGAATAAAATCCCATAACCAGTTGACAGCGTTCCCCCTTCCAAAAAAAACAATTTTTTTTTTTTTTTTTTTTTTAAAGGCTCATATTATAAATTTGAATACTCCGCAGACACACGCCTCTTCCTATTAGGGCTGGAAGAGCCTCGGCCACTGTTCCCATAGAGACAGCTTCCCTGTACGACAAGAATGAAGATTGAGTGCTGAGCATTGATTGCTTCCCCAGGAAGGAAGGATTGACTCAGCCCCATGGACAATCAGCTTCTGCCCTACTATACTGAACCACCAATGATCAGTCCCTACAAAGCAAGATTTCGGGGGGGATATAGCAGGGCAAAGCAATAGAGCACATCCCAGGTCCCAGTCACAAACCCTAAGTGAATATGACCCACAGTAAATGACCTCAAAGCTTATCAAGGGAGGAAGAATTCAGCAATCAAGGAAAATCAACACACATGAAGGGAAGGAGGAGAAAGAACAAACACGGAGACCACAGGCACCGTCTCCCAACCCCTTGCTACAGCCTCTCTTTCTCCCCCCGAATCCCACGGGAACAACTCGTCAGCACGCCACCCCACAGCGCATCGCCAGGTTGGCATCTTCCCATGCACAGCAAAGCTTTCGAGAAAGAACCCTCGGCTACCCTTCGACCCCAGCAGGCCACCCTCCGGCCCCAGCAGAGTCTACCACAAAGGCAGGATTGGAAGAGACTGAGTACCACTCACCATAGTGGCTGTCGCAAGGAGAGATATTGGTGGCATGCTGGTTGTATCAAATGACGTGAGCAAGATAGGTGTTGTTGGAAGTTGTATTTCAGGTGTCATTGTTAAGAGCACTGTTGTCGTCGTTGGATTGGTTGTTGATGTTGAAGATGTCTTCGTCATGAGCCCTGTTGATATAGATGAAGACGTTATCGTTGTTGTTGTTGTCGTTGGATTGATCGTTGATGTTGAAGATGTCTTCGTCATGGGAGCTGTTGATATAGATGAAGAAATTATCGTTGTTGTTGATGTTGAAAAAAATTGTTGTATTTGCCCTTCGTCATTTCCACTGTCGACGCTGATGAAACTGTTGTGTGTGCTGTTGATGAATCGAATGTCGATACATCCCCCTCTACCGGCGGTCGTGTTGGCCTTGCTGTCAAAGCTCGTTCATTGGCCTCCCCAGCCTGTCGCGTTGCCAACTCCGCAGATAGTTTATCCCCTTCTTCATAGAGCTCATAGCATTGATGCATAAGCTCGTCCGCCTTCTGCCAGTCAAGGAGATGTTCTCAATGTGGATCAGGTCCCTCCTCTAACTCCCAATTTAAAAGTACATCCATCATTCGTTGTAGCATGCCCTCTCTCCATGTAGTCATTGAGATCGCCCCCCGATCGACCCCTGACCAATCTTGGGCTGTCGAAGATAGAAGAAGCACCATCTCCTGCAAACTGCGCTGGCCATCCTGCAGAACCAAAAGCCAAGTATTCGCAGCATGTTGTAGATCTCCATATGAACCCATCTCCATCCCCAGTCGGCGCTGGCTTGTTCAGGTTTGTTATCTTCACTCCCGTTTGTAGCTCAACGACGCCCTCCATTCGTTAACCGCTCGGCACGATGCACTGCCGGGCGTATCGCCACCCTCTTCCCTTCACCCTATCCCCACCCTTTACGACATATCTCACCGCCACTATCGCCGAGTTCCTCACGTTCTCAGCCTATATCGGCGATGGCGCCCACCTCTCTCCCCGCCTTGTTGACGTACCTCTCTCCACGGCGATGACATCAACGTCGCCCGTCCGCCTCAGTACCACCGAGGTTTTGGGTACCTTGACCGCCGGGCCCGCTGGTAAGCTGCCGACGCGCTCACGCAAAAAAAAATAAAAATAAATATAGGATAAATAGGAGGCAAGGCTATGGGTATGACCTCCTATTTTCAGCTGGTATGCGATTGTATGATCGAATCAGTTCCTCCTGATGAGACTGCTCGCGGGGTAGTCGAAACGCATCGAGGATGGCCGCTAGACTGCGGATGAGTATGGTGGAGCTATGCTCTCTTAGGTTTCGTGTGAGCCATGTGCAGTACGACTTTCATTGCTCGCTTACGGAGCTTGCGTTGATAACTTGATTATCTATTGGGCTCTTTGTGAGCCATGTGTTGTATGACTTTCATTGCTTGTTTTCGGAACTTGCGTTGATTATCTATTGGGCTCTTGGGACTTCCAGTTATTAGTTCGGCTTTTTTGGCATGCGTGTGGCACTGTGATCTTATGAGTGTATCTTTCATGTTTTACCTCATGCCGCGATTGATTTAGCCGGTCAGTCTGTGTCTATCATCTCATCTCATCCTGCTTTTTACTGACCCAGTCCCCAGTGGCACCTGGATAATTGCCAACTTTGTCCTCCTAATGTCCTATATCCCCCTATAGTTTAGTCCAAGGTAAATTCCAGTTATATCATCAGCCCTAGAGTTTGATGCTGATGCTCATGCTGCTCATGCTGCTGCTGCTGCTGCTGCTGATGATGATGATGATGATGATGATGATGATGATGATGATGATGATGAGTTATGAAAACTCTATGAACTACAAGAGCAAAACCTGGCCTCACAATACATGAGCAACTCCTAGCCAGGCCCTCCCCTTTACCAAACACAACTTTCAAATTGAATAGGCAATGTCAGCCTAGCCAATACCAGCCATAGCTGTAATGTTTCTCAGTTCTCTTCTTTTGTTTGATCCCCCCCTCCCCTCCGCCCCCCCCCCCCCCCCCCCACACACACACAAAAAAAAAAAAAAAAAAAAAAAACTCTGCT